CTGGGGGGTCCCCATGATCTGGAGTTGTATGACAGGCTGGTGCTACACCATGAGAGGGAGGCCCACCAGTCCTTGCATAGAGGCCTGGGAGTGCTGCACCCACAGGGCCACAGCAAATACGCAGCCCCTGTAATCCATGATATAGGACACACTGTCCCTGCTACGGTATATCCCTTTTCTACACTTCCTGAAAATATGGCATTCATCTTAATATTGTGTGGTATAAGTCGTCTATCTTCTTGACTTCTTTCAATTTGCCACTTCAGTGTCACATTATTCAAAAATGTATATGAAAGAACAAGATGCACTGAAAGGAAAACTCTTTCTGGAATGCTGAACTTTGTCAAGGTCATTTTGCACTAGCAACCACCTTGTTGCACATTCTTGTTTCACACTTGGTTAGCAAATAATCTGAAAAAAATCTTGATTTAAAATGATTTATTACAAGCTAAATGTAATTTGCAAGCTATTGTATGCCAGCTCACTGACACAAGTGTTGCTTATTAATTTCACTAGCAGTTAAAGGGGAATTAAAAAAAAAGTAGATCACCTATTCATTAAACACTTGCAATTATTTTTTAAATTGATGGTTTATAGTTAGAGAAAACTAACAGAGGCTAAATATTTCCCTGTTGCTCTAAACCAATACTACTGCTACTACTACAACAAAAATCAGAATACTTTGCATGCAATGATTTTCAAGCCTTTAACGTTCCCCTGGTGGTGATGTGTTTATGGAAGACAGGTAAGAAATGGTTTCCCAGGAAAGTCATTGGGCTAGGAAGCAACTTTGGCACAGTGTCCAAACTGCCTAAATACAACTTCTGCATTCATCACATGATGCGCACTTGCCCAAAAAGTTTTTTTTTTCATATGGAATCATTGGAAAAGGAATGGCTATATAACGGAACGGAAGCAGAGCAGAACATCAGAATAATTTTTATGGCCAAATTTTTGGAAGCATGAAACATCTTGTGCCACCGAGCGGCTTTCCTAGGAATGAACTGGGTGCCCCCATTTCTCCTTAATCATTGATAAGATGACACTGACCAGCAATACATCTCTTTGCTGAGGCTTTTGTTCATGTACACATTTTTTCCACTTGTCTCACAGCATTGCATAAGGGTCACAAACAGCACAATGTGGCATGTGGACATTACTCTGGTCTCTTGTCTGTCTCATCTGTAGTTATGTTTTGGTGGACTTGTGAAACATCATCAGTCAGTTTTTTTTTGTTCTGCCTGTTTTATCTCAATATTTTTGGAAGCAGCGTAATTGTTTAGATTTCAAATATTTTATCAATTTAAATGTAGCGTAAGGCTTAAAATCTAATACTTGTTGCTACCAAACTGGTAAATTTAAGGCTCACGTTTCATATTGATTTTTTTTATTTACAATATTGCCATTATTGTACAAGCTGTCACAAAAGGCTACTATTAACCTTGATCTGACCATACCCTGGTAAACACCAGAGGAGTCAGATAACACCTGGTCACCAAATATTTTACATGGGCTTTGTGTGGGTAAAAAATATCAATACCTAATCCCTTCCATGCTAATGGTCCTGGTACTATGACCAGCCAGTATCTCTTATAAAAATGCAGCTTACCACCATTTTGAGAAGATTGCTGAATGTGGCACACTTTGCTCTCCAAAACTTTCTGAATGGCTAAAATGCATTGTATGGCAGATTCAATAGCATCAGTGTTGACTCATTGGCTATTAGAAGGGTGTTTTCACTCTGTAATTTAGAATTCAGATTAGACAGAAGTAAACAATTCTATTTTTGCCAGAGTTTATAAAATTTTACTCTGGCCTGGTTCTTATTATAGTTCAGAATTCTCCCATGTCACTTATTCATACAGCCCCAAATTGTTTACTTTGGCTTTACAGCTGTGGGGCTTTGCTAATTGAATTTGGGTTTGTTTTTTTTTTCATGCAGAAATTCCAAAAAAACTGCTTATCACAACTCTACAGTCCTTTACATAAGTGGTTGGTAGACCTGAGCACTGTGGCTGTTCTGTTCTGACAGTATTTCAGCACTTTTCTCATTTTTCAGTACATTACGTACATTCAGTATATTCAGTAGAGGAAACTGGTGGTGATTGTAACATTTATTACTTTTTCCTTTATAATTCAGACTACTTGACATTCACTATCTTTTGATATAAGAAACATATGTGAACTAAATAATAATACAATTTATATATTGTCCCTAATAAGGACAAGACCATAGTATTACATTTAATGCGAGAAGTCAAGAGCGTTAGAATTCCCTCTTTGGCAGGCCAATTGTAACACTGAAAAAGTAAGTCACATTAACACACCTTTGATACTTTCATTTTAAAAGCAATGACAGAATGATTTGCCATATGTAAGAAGATTATTTGATAATCTTACAAAGTAACATGACACAGACCATGTGACTTTGCCTCTGCCCTCACCAACCTTCCCTGCACAGCTTCACTGGCAGCAGAGAGAGTAGAAACACACACTATCCATCACTCAAGGTGTTAACGTATTGATTTACGACTTTGAATGATGGTGCCCTGATGACTCATGCTTCCAAGTCTAAGTCCTGCCCCCTTTTTGCACATAGCTTCTGCATCAATCAAAAGCCCAAACCCTAATTTCATAATTCAAACAATTTTGTATACCTACGTTACTTGTCTACAATGGAACATTTTATTATAGGTTTTATAAAAGATAGAAGGGTACCTGCATACCATCATTCTGCAAGCTTTTTCCTCTAAAACATATAATCTAATGTGTGAAACGTTTTACAAAATACAGGTTAAATGAAGGGTTGTATTTGATTTTGATGGCTTGCAACAGCATATACAAGGACAAAGTTTTTTTAAATGGTGGGGCTGAGTTATGTCTTTCTTGAAAGTCTATCACTCTGGGTATGAAAACTGTATGTCACATGTAAAATATCACAGTTATAAAAGAAAACTATATTTAATTAATAGTCACTTTCTGTAGTGACTCCATGAAAAACAACAAGATTCACTGTGGCAAGACCATGTTATTACACACCACTGTCAGCTAGTTCTATGCAGGTTGGTTGCAAGATATTCTTCAAATTATAGTCAACAGCTGAAATAATCTAGCAAAAAATGTGGGAGCATATCAAGAAATGGGGCAGGGGGGGTTGGAAGAGTCAGAGTCCTGATGCTCAAAGGACAACTAAGTAGAACCAAAAGATACTGCTGGATGATGCGTTACAGTTCAGGGATGTAAATGTTCAAATTAAATTATTTAATCAAATTTCATTTTCAAAAATGATTTTTGCACTGTCTAGTTTCTGGCAACCCTCACCAGGCATCAGACCAGTGTAGTGGTGAGTTTCAGCTTGCACAGTTTTTAACAGCACAAATGAATCCTAAGGGGATCTTACCATTTAGAACATTACTATGAAAAATGTTTATCTTCACTTCAGTATTAATGAGCTTCAGTTAGGGCAAAATTCAAAATCAAGTGTAAAATACCTTTTTAAATGTCACTGGCAAGTTTAGTATTGCTCAATCTCTGCCAAACTGAAAATACTGTAAATTTGAGTTAGTCAGTCTCACAGTCCTTTTTACAGCAGAAATTTTGACTTGTTATAGTAGGAAACACACAGGATTTATGGGGTACTGACAACAGCTCTGTTCTAGTTAAGTCTTTTACTAAGAGATAACGGTGTAACAAGAGATAACGGTGAACAAGACCAGACCCTGAAAATGAAGCAGTGGCATTACTGTGACAGCAAGTAAAGTCAGTCTGTGTGCTGCTGTTGCTGCTGTCACTCACTCCAAGCTGTGTAGGAGTTACATTAGGAAATAGAAATGATATGGTCTGCTCTTTCATGATATTAGCTAGCACTTCAAGCCATAAATTTGAACCTATATTTCTATATATACTACATGTTGATCATGCAGTGCCCACCAGACACCAGTAATGTAAACACTGGAAAAAATCATTTAAAAAAAACAGACACACAGTGCATACAGGGTTACAGCTGCTGCCACCATTGCACACACAAACACTTGTACTTCGATCTTTGTGAGGACACTCATTGACATAATGCATTCCCTAACCCCTTACCCTAATCTTAAACATCAGAACTAAATGCCTAAACATAACCCTAGCTCTAACCTAAACCTAATTCTATCCTGAACCCTAAAACAAAGTCTTATCCCTCAAAAAGGTGTTTCAGAAAGTGAGGACCAGCCAAAATGTCCTCACTTTCAAAAAATGTCCTTAGAAGGTAGCAAAACATACATATTTGGTCCTCAGTATGTGGTAAATACAAGAACACACACACAAACTGTATTGCAAACACTTTGTTTTGTCTAAACTCTCTTGCATTCATTATATTGTCCTGTGGTGCAAAGCTGCTTGTCTGGCATCTACATTAAGTAGGCTAAAGTAAACTAAGCTATATTTTCATTATAGATTTAGCCCTGCAGTACTACAGTTCTACTTCATCTTGTTTCTTTCAGACTGACAACTTTGTTGTTGGCTGGACAGAAAAAGAGCTGGAGGAAAACAGTAATTCCTTCCAAAACAATGCAATGGTAGGTGTCACTCTTTGCTTTATCTTAAATATAAAGGTGCATATGCAGGGACATTTGCATTGTCTATGAATAGGCTTTCATATTTGTCCACATGTAACACCAGATACCTTGGGCATCACAGAAAAGTAAGATATACTGTAATGCACCACACCACAGTATTAGTATATTTCCAGAGGACATCTTAGATTAACATAACCAGACTATGAGATAAAAGGCCCACAAATTCCATTGAAGCTATAATATTTATTACATTCCACAGCAGGGAAGCATGGGACTCAACACTACAGTGGGGAGAATATTTGAAGCTGGTCCTTAGGGTAACTCTAAGAAAGGCCATAAAGTCATTAAGCTCCACAGCTTATCCCCATGGGATCATGGCTCTGCTCTGCACATTTCATGGCAACTGGCCCATGAATTCATTAGATATCTCACTAGTATTTGTAACCCTTTAGCCAGAAGGCAGCAAGAAATGAAGGGTCATGGTGTGTCCAAAGTTAATGGTGGTTCATCTTCTGGGAAGCCTAACTGCTCCATGAATTTTCACTGCAACCTTAAATTTTTAATATAAAGATGATACTGATAGAAGAAAGGTCAGAATGACAGTAAAAAAAAGATCAGATTTATCATCTGGTGACCTAAATATTCTCATCATCATCATGCTCTGGACCTCAGTGCAGGACTGGCACAGAACTTCACCCAAACGAACAAAAGTTACATTTACAGTCCTTAACATTTTTAAAAGTTTTGTGTTACTATATTTTTTCAGTAACAGCCATTCAATGTACGTACATTTACATTCAGTACCACTCTATGTAGTAGTTGTCATTGTTACTGATCAGGCCCCTTTCAGAATGCATACCAACATATGAGTCATCCAGCAAGTGATGTCTGCAAGTATAGATGAAATGCTGAACTCTAAAGCTGCTGCATGTGCACATTTGTCATAATGCAAAAGGAAACATGCACTGATGGGCACTATGTTTCAGTATTATTCAGTAGTCTTTATTAAAGAAGTGATGATTGGCTGGAAAACAAACAATAAATAAATAGTTTTAAGGCGGATCAGGGGGTGGCTGAGGTCCTCCTCTGAGGAGAAGGAGCTACATGTTGTTTATACATTATTTAAAATTTTAAATCTCCTGCCTGGAGAGCGAGCAGTTTTAAAACTGTGCTAAATGTGATGTCACACCCAGGCATACGATTGAATGCACAAGGAAAAGCGCAATGCCTGTGTACACTGAGAGTGTAGGGAGATAAATGAAAATAGCCTTGTGAAAGCTAAGCTGTAAGTCTGACTATGTTTAAAAAAAGGATGGTTACTTGTTAGTTATCACCTCCAGCCAATCATAGTAGCTGCTCATGAATTAGATAAATTTTATGTAAATAACATCTGAAACAGCCTGGTGGAGGACAGAGGAGACTCTGGGCTGTTTGCAAACATGGATTGAGAGAAATCTAAACAATATTGGGTAAATAAAATGTCACAGATATGTTTAAAATCCACATAATATAATATAAAGATGGGTCAAAAAGAAACAGGTGAACAGTTTGGGATATACTGTACTGTGCTTTTGTACTTTCTTTCCATGCATGAGATACGATTAATGTCGATCTTTTACTTCTATGTTAAGTACAGTGGTGTAGTCAGGACATGGAAGCAGGGGGAAACAGCTGGCTCTCTCTAAAGTAAAAATACACCTCCCAATACTCATCATCACTTCCATTAAGAACTAATAAGTGGATAAACTCTTGGGTCTAAAAAATTAAACATTTTCTAAAATCGCAAATGACTTAGCATTTTTCAACTTTTGACAGGGCCAGGCAAGCAGTTTCTATGCTAAACTAGGTTAACCATATCCTGACTAACAGACAGATGTGAGACTAATGTTGATCTCATCATCATCATCAGTCATTAACCACAGGCGTCTCAAATCAACCAGGACTGAAATTTTAAGGATTATAACTCAAAGGGTCTTTCATTTAGATACTTATTAGGCTCAAAGAGAGGTGCTGCACCATTAATGTGGGGTTCATGTATACTGTTGCCATTTGTTATTGACAGGATGAAATGCAGATATCAGGTGGGCCACCCTTCAGGGCTGGTTCTCACCAGGCCCAAAGCAGGCTGTCCAGGGAGGAGCTCAGCATGAAGCCTTCGGTCCAGCTTGTACAACCTGGCTCCAGCCTGCTCTTCACTGGCCCCACCCAGCTGCTCCAAGACTGCCTCCACAAATCCCTCCCCACCACCCACCAGCCATCCCCAGCCTCTGCCCACCACACTTGCACTGGAAGCAGCCACCACACTTCCCTCCATGCACTCCACCACACCTGCCAGTGTCCCTTCCAGCTCCCTGACTCTGAACACCTCAACCACCCCCACTTTGCTCATCACTTCCACCACCATGTTGCCCATCACAACAAGGCCAGTTCAGGACACCACACCTGCCCAGGCCTCCTGCAACACAATGACTCAGCTGGCCCTGCTAAATCAGAGTCATCTGTCAAGCTCTCTTCTAGATCCAGTTCCTATGAGAAGACCTCCATCTTGTCAAAGTCTGCAGCTTCTTCCAAAGCGACATCTCCCATGCCATCTCCTCATGCATCACCCCATCCCTTGCCATGCCCCTCACCCTGCCCCTCTCTCATCACACCGGCTGCTCCACCCTGTAGTCCTGACCGGTCCTACTCACCTGCCCATACCCAAAAAGTCATTGTAACAGACATGAACCGGCTGTCTGCAGACTCCAGACCACAGCAAAGAGGTAAACATGTCTCTGTCTTTGTGCACTCAATTGGCAGTTTAGATCATCCTTGATAAAACTAGTATAGTCTAATACAACAGTCACCTCACTGTAGAATGTAGCACAGTTCAATAGCAGCACAAACTACAGCCTACACAAAGGGTCAGTTGAATACAATACTTCTTTGAAATAGTTTGAACACAAACTGAAGAAACAGTTATTATGGATTAGACTGACCTAGTTTTACCAGAATATTTATATAATTTTAGTTGATAAATAAACATACTGGTGAGTCTGCCTTGTCTTAAATGAATGTATTTTTTCAGGGACCAAGAAACACACTCCACACATGAGAGGCAGCACAGCATCTGTTTAACACTACTAAACTGCTGTGAGAACAAGACATAGTTCTCTAAATAAATTCCAGAAAGAACCATCTACAATAATCATACAATATCTTCGACAGTGATCCACTGTAATCTTCACAACTTTTAATTGTAATTAAGTCTTTTTTTCTGTTGCATTACTGCTTTTAGTTGTGTGATTCCACAGGCTAAACATTAAAAGAACAGATATATAATGAGATAAAATATGAAATCAAAAAGTAAAGATGATATAAAATTAATCTATATAAAGTTAATCTCAGAAAGCTGTTTCACCCAAAAATATGAAAATATAAAATCATACTGAAATATGATCAAACATGTTTAGAAAATATATTAGATATAAAGCCTGTTTACAATAAACGACTGTCTCAGATATAGGTTTGCTCTGCACCTGGCTGCGCTCCTGTTGCTGTATATACAGTATCACTTGTGTGCATACTAACATTATAGTGATCTCAACCAGGGGCCACTCTGTCCCAGCTGTCAGACAGTGGCCAGACTCTGAGTGAAGACAGCGGGGTGGATATAGCCGAGGCAGGAGGCCTCAGTAAGGATGGCAGCCCCCGACCCAGCAAGAACCAACAGAGCCATCTGGAACAGCCAGGAGCCCACGCACCTTCTCCAGGGGCCACCAGACAAGTGAGGGCTTTATACTGTCAGAAATAACCATTTCCAGAAGTTATTCGATTCAGCACGTTGATCTTAATTTACTCTTAACAAAGTTAAACTGCCCTGTCCCAAAATGGCTGACTGTGTAATCCTAATGATTTAGCAGGTTGTGTTTTCACTTCTCCAGAACATCTGTTGCTTTCACTTTTTTTTCACGCTTTATGGAATTAAGTTAAGCAAATACAGCTTAGTGTTTATCTCAGCTTATTACAAACAAAGAAAAGTACTGCTGGGTCAGCACTGTGATTAATTAAACTGTGTCACCGCCTAATGAGGACACAAATGATCACATCATTTTATGGCAGCAGTCCAATCAATGGAACAGATGAACAAAAGAGAAAATACTCATTTGCATATAGGGAGAAAATTGTGTCACGTTAAATCAGTCACATCAATGTACAACTAGATGTGAAGAGTTTTACAATGCTATTAACTGTTTTGTACATTATTAAAGTGTTAATAATAAATGAAGTGTTTCATAGGAAAGACTGGAGTTTTAATTTAGAGACCCAAGATGATGTTTTGATGTTGGACACCAAACCACTGGGTTAAAACCTTTATTTTTTCACACACAGAATAAAAAAATGGAAATTTATAAAGTAATTTGTAAAATAATTTATTTTGCTTCCATTGTAATAATCTCGATCCTATTATGGTGTGCAAAGATAGAATGAGAAATAAAATTGACAAATTGATCCAAACACAAGGACATTAAAACAAATCTAAATAGAGATGCATACAGTACAGTTAATACTGTGTCCCCCTGAGCTGCCACAGACCATCTAACTTTTCCCATTATGAATTCTGTGAACTGGCAGATAAATATGGAAATGAAATCCAAACACAGATATTGTTTTCAGGGCAAACTGGAGGCAGCAACTAAAAACTAGTACATGTGTCTCTTGGGGGGGTTGTCTTCTAACCGGAAAATTAGCGGTTCGATTCCCAGCTTGTCCAGTCCCCATGTCGAAGTGTCCTTGAGCAAGACACTGAACCCCCAATTGCTCCTGGTGATAACACCGGTGTGTGAGTGCTTGGGAGTGTGAATGGCCAAATAGTATGAAAGCGCTTTGAGTGTGCTGTAAAGCATAGAAAAGCGCTATACAAGTTTAAGACCATCTTAACTTTTTGCTACCTTGTGATATGACACATCTGGTAATGCTATCAACACCACACCATTTTACAGATATCATGCACGCTAACAGGTTTTTAGTTCAGCTAGAAATATTCACAGTGAATAAGACATCTATGTTAAGTAACAAACATAAGGAGCCTAATACAATCCGACATACTACAACAGCAGCACAACATTAAGGTAACATTAAGATAACTCCAGGTTAACATAGCTAAAATACAAAATACAACACTGACCAATCTGGGTGAGTTTTCATATTCGTGTCTTTTATCTTTTCCCCACATTGTTTACAGTAGAGAAAAATTCATGTTGGAAGTTTGTTAATGTAGGACTCAAGTGTGACCTGAGTATGAGACACCAACTTGAGTACAGTCTGTGGTAAACCCTAATTATTTTACATGTGATATTTGATGTATGGCCAAGAGTTACTGTACTGTATTGTGTACTCTAATTGCTAAAACAGTTTAATATAACAATATATAGTGTATACTATATATATTTAGTATGAAGTATGGATTTGGGACATTACTCTGAACTGAGTAATTCAGTCTAAATGCATTATGTACAAGTGTCTTTTGGCCTAAGCCTTTCTTTTTGCTTATTGTTGTGGCTTGGCCATGAGCCTCTTTCTTCCATTTGTCTGCTTCTCTCTGCTGCACCTCACAGAAACTCCATCCTTGTTGTCAGTACAACAAACACTGACCACATTGCATAGCAATGTCCGGGGCACACAGTGAACTGTGCAGACATATGAAGGAGTACAGATCTGGATGTGCCAATCCGGGTAGTGAATGTATAAAACACTAATGGTTCCTGAAGAGCTGATGTGCATCAAGACATCACTGGTGTCACAGTCTGTTACTACTACCCCTCTAAACCTCGGGCTCTCCCTCTTCATCTTCATGACTTTCTTCCTTGTAGTGATAGAACTTCTCCTTTTTTGTAATTATCCCACCTGACCCGTGCTGATGGAAAAGCACCGTAAGGTACACCCCCACGCTGCAACATCAGTGATGTGACAAGTTTGCAGGGTTGATCTATATCTAAAAATGTTGCAGTGATGATCATATAAAGTTCAACTTTTCTCTCAATTGCTCTGAGCCCTCTTCACTTTGTGTTCCAGCAAAGTGGCTCACCAGTCCCAGCACCCACTGCTACCCTGGTACGAGTGGTGAAAAATGCCAGCACCCTTGGCATTGCTATCGAGGGGGGAGCCAATACACGTCAACCTTTGCCACGAATAGTCACAATTCAGGTGAGACAGCTATACAATATTGTTTGGCAAGTTTTGGATTGAAGCCACTGACTTTTGAGTCCTTGGGTCCACAGGTCTAACCCAGGACTGAAATCCCTGTGGGCTCGGATTCTTGTTTCTTCCACATGCCTCTACATTCTATTTAGTCAGCTTGTGTCACATAATGCACTCACTGGCTTTTTTTTCACACAGCAGGAAAGTCTGTGTGAACACAGCCTAAAAGACTTTTTGTTGTCCTTTTAGTAATAAGTAGATATTAACAGTACATTTCAAAACTACTCTGACAGTAACATTTGACTATGAAAATCACCGTTTGTAATTTCATTTGGACTTTAAAAGCACCATACTCTCTTCAGATGGGACAGTTAAAGCATCTGGAAGGCAAAGAATTTTGTGGAATTTGTCATCGTCAATTAATCTTAGTCTTCAACTCTCAGACCAATTTTATTTTCCCTTCAATTCCCTTAAAACATGTTAGAAATGTAAAGTATTAGTATTACAGAGAATCTAGCTACAGGGGTTTCAAGCCAGTGACTTCTGTGCCGGTCCCAAGCATGGATAAATAGAGAGGGTTCCATCAGGAAGGTCAAACATGCCAAATTTAAACATGCGAATCATCAGTGTGAATTCCATACAGGATTGGTCAAGGCCTGGGTTAACAATGACCGCCACCAGTGCTGTTGACCTACAGGGTGCTGGCGGTAATTGGACTATTGTCGGTCAAAGAAGGACAGGAGGCCAAAGGATTCGTAGACAGAAAGAGAAGAGGAAAGGCAGGAGTATAGGTCTGAAAACAGGGACTCTTAACATTGGCACAATGACAGGGAAAGGTAGAGAGCTGGCGGACATAATGGAGAGAAGGAAGGTAGATATACTGTGTGTGCAGGAGACCAGGTGGAAGGGTAACAAAGTGGGTAGCATTGGAGGGGGATACAAACTGATTTATTATGGTGTGGACAGGAAGAGAAATGGGGTAGGAGTGATCCTGAAGGAGGAGCTGGTGAGGAATGTTTTAGAGGTGAAAAGAGTGTCAGACAGGGTGATCAGTTTGAAGTTGGAAATTGAAGGGGTAATGTTGAATGTAGTCAGTGGTTATGCCCCACAAGTAGGGTGTGAGTTAGGAGAGAAGGAGAGATTCTGGAGGGAGTTAGATGAGGTGATGGAGAGTATTCCCAGAGGGGAGAGAGTGGTGATTGGGGCAGACTTCAATGGGCATGTTGGTGAGGGGAACAAAGGTGATGAGGAGGCGATGGGCAGGTTTGGTGTCAAGGGAAGGAACATAGAAGGACAGATGGTGGTGGACTTTGCTAAGAGGATGGAAATGGCTATAGTTAACACCTATTTCCAGAAGAGGGAGGAACATAGAGTTACATACAAGAGTGGAGGTAGGAGTACGCAGGTAGACTACATTCTATGTAGACAAAGCAATCTGAGAGAGATTAGTGACTGCAAAGTGGTGGTAGGAGAAAGTGTAGCCAGACAGCATCAGATGGTGGTGTGTAGGATGACTCTGGTGGTCAGGAAGAAGAGGAG